TGACTTGGGGTCACAGCCTGGCGGGCCAGGTCACGTGCCAGGCGCCCTGGGGCTGGCTAGGCTAATTACCAGCGCAGAGACACGCACAGGGGGCGCCATCCCCCAACCGCCATTGGCTCCCGCATCGCCGCTCGTGCCGCCCCGTCTGCTCCGGCTCCCCGCCCAACCTGAGGGGGGCAGACACGCATAGAGACTACAGCTCCCAGCATGCAACGCTACGGCATTTGACTTCCGCCGCCAGGCTCGGAGCACGTGACCGGAAGGGCGCCGCCTCTTGGGAAAGGTCACTGGGGTAGGTAGGGGGCTGAGCCCGAGGCGTCCGACCCGGAACAGCAACCGACCCCCACGTCTCTGAGACGCCCCCGGCAGCAGGTGACGGTCGCGCGGGGAGCTGGCCCCGCCCTGCCGCTCGTGGCGCCGCCGCCAGCGTCTCGCGGGGACGGGGGTGGCGGTGGGAAGCCGCGGTCAGTGTCCGCCCTGGACCGGCCCTCGGCTGCGCGCCGGGCGTGGCCGCCGCGTCTCGGGGGCCCGCGGCCATGGGCAGCCACCGGGGCCTCGGGCGGCCACAGGCTCGCCACGCGTCGGGGCGGGGGCTGCGCTCCGCGTGCTCTGGCCGGCAGCCCCCCCCCCCCCTCCGTGCCGGCCCCCCGTCGGGGCGGGTGGGGGCCGCGTGCCTGAGACCGACCGGCCTTGTGCTTTTCAGGGGCGAGGATGGTCTCCGCCAAGCAGCTGGCGGACTTCGGGTACAAGGCCTTCTCCGGCTCCATGATGCTGCTGACCGTCTACGGGGGCTATCTCTGCAGCGCCAGAGCTTACCGGTACTTCCAGCGCCAGCGAGCCCTCAAGCAGCTCGACCAGAACCAGCTCGACCCAGGGACCGTGGAAGACTGAACGCTGCTCCCCGGCTGACCGGCCCGCAGGCGGAGAGACACTTAATGAGCAACGCGGAGGCTGTGTTGCGATGACTTCTGCTGCAGTAATCAGGTAGCAAGGGCAGCCCTTCCAGATCACAGATGAGGGCTAGCTTAGATCATCCGGGGTGTTCCTCCCCACACTAAGGTGTCTTGTTTCTCTGCACTAGCCAGAGGTTACAAAGTAACTCTGTGTAAGCATGTTTTGATCATGTGATAATTAAATATTTTACTTATTTATCCTCTTGTCAATATGTGACTAGAACCACCTGGGTGAAGGAGCAAGTCATTTAAATCAACACCAATACACAATTTTACTCAAAACCCTTCACAGTGGGGATGTCTGCCTTGACCTGTTCTTCTAAAATTCTCCTCTCCCCGGCCAGCAAACTGAATAGCTGCAGGTTGAGGGAGACTGAGGGCTTGTTTACACTTAAAACACTGTAGCTGCCCCCCTGTAATGCTTCAATGGAGACTTTACCTACACGGATTGGAGGGGTTTTCCAGGCAGCGTAGGTAATCCACCTACCTGAGAGGCAGTAGCTAGGTCAATAAGGCTATGTCTACACTACCGCGGTAAGTTGACCTATGCTATGCAAGCTACTTGAATAATGTAGCGGGAGTCAAACTGGAAGGGACCTCAAGAGGTCATCTAGTCCAAGCCCCTGCATTCAAGGCAGGACTAAGTATTATCTAGACCATCCCTGCCAGGTGTTTGTCCAACCTGCTCTTAAAAATCCCCAATGATGGAAATTCCACAACCTCCCTGGGCAATTTATTCCAGCGTTTAACCACTCTGACAGTTAGGAAGTTTTTCCTAATGTCCAACCTAACCCATCCTTGCTGCACTTTAAGTCCATTGCTTCTTGTCCTATCCTCAGAGGTTAAGAACAAAAATTTTTCTTCCTCCTCCTTGTAACAACCTTTTATGTACTTGAAAACTGTTATGTCCCCTCTGTCTTCTCTTTTCCAGACTAAACAAACACAATTTTTTTCAATCTTCCCTCATAGGTCATGTTTTCTAGACCTTTAATCAGTTTTGTTGCTCTTCTCTCCAATTTGTCCACATCTTTCCTGAAATGTGGCACCCAGACCTGGACACAATACTCCAGTTAAGGCCTAATCAGCGCGGAAGAATTACTTCTGGTGTCTTGCTTACAACATTCCTGCTAAATCATCATTCTGGGATGTATGCTTTTTTTGCAACAGCATTACACTGTTGACTCATTTAGTTTGATCCACTATGACCCCCAGATCCCTTTCCAAGGCAATCATTTCCCCTTTTGTATGTGTGCAACTGATTGTTCCTTCCTAAGTGGAGTACTTTGCATTTGTTTTTATTGAATTTCATCCTATTCAGACCATTTCTCCAGTTTGTCCAGATCATTTTGAATTTTGATCCTATTCTCCAAAGCACTTGCAACCCCTCCCTGCTTGGTATCATCTGCAAACTTTATAAGTGTACTCTCTATGCCATTATCCTAATCGTTGATGAAGATATTAAACAGAACCAGACCCAGAACCGATCCCTGGAGGTCCCCACTCATGCCCTTCCAGCATGACAGTGAACCACTGATAACTACTCTCAGGGAATGATTTTCCAACCAAAAACAACAAGGAGTCTGGTGGCACCTTAAAGACTAACAGATCTGTTAGTCTTTAAGGTGCCACCAGACTCCTTGTTGTTTTTGTAGATACAGACTAACACGGCTACCCCCTGATACTATTTTCCAACCAGTTATGCACCCACCTTATAGTAGCTCCATCTAGGTTGTATTTCCTAGTTTGTTTATGAGGTGGTCATGCAAGACAGTATCAAAAGCCTTACTAAAGTCAAGATATACCACATCTACCGCTTCTCCCCCATCCACAAAGCTTGTTACCCTGTCAAAGAAAGCTATCAGGTTGGTTTGACACTATTTGTTCTTGACAAATCCATGCTGACTTATTTATCACCTTATCTTCTAGGTGTTTGCAAATTGATTGCTTAATTATTTGCTCCATTATCTTTCTGGGTACAGAAGTTAAGCTGACTTCTCTGTAATTCCCGGGGTTGTCCTTATTTCCCTTTTTATAGATGGGCACTATATTTGCCCTTTTCCAGTCTTCTGGAATGTCTCCTGTCTTCCATGACTTTTCAAAGATAACAGGAGTAATTGTGGCACCTTAGAGACTGAGCATAAGCTTATGCAAATAAATTTGTTAGTCTCTAAGGTGCCACAAGTACTCTTGTTCTTTTTGCGGATACAGACTAACACAGCTGCTATTCTGAAACTTTTCAAAGATAATTTCTAATGGCTCAGATATCTCCTCAGTCTGCTCCTTGAGTATTCTAGGATGCATTTCATCAGGCCCTGGTAATTTGAAGACATCTAACTTGTTCTTTCCCTATTTTAGACTCTGATCCTACCTCATTTTCACTGGCATTCACTATGTTAGACATCCAGTCGCCACCAACCTTCTTGGTGAAAATTGAAACACAGAAGTAATTAAGCCTTCCACCATTTCTACATTTTCTGTTGTCTTTTCCCCCCTCGTTGAGTAACGGGTCTACTCTGTCCCTAGTCTTCCTCTTGCTTCTAATGTATCTGTAGAATGTTTTTTTGTTTCCTTTTAAGTCCCTAGCTAGTTTGATCTCATTTTGTGCCTTGGCTTTTCTAATTTTGTCCCTGTTATTTGTTTATATTTGTCCTTTGTAATTTGACCAAGTTTCCACTTTTTGTAGGACTCTTTATTTTTGAGTTTTAGATCACTGACGATCTCCTGGTTAAGCCAGGGTGGTCTCTTGCCCTACTTCCTCTCTTTCCTATGTAGTGGGATAGTTTTGCTCTTGTGCCCTTAATAATGTCTCTTTGAAAAACTGCCAACTGTCTTCAATTGTTTTTCCCCCTTAGACTTGCGTCTCATGGGATTTTACCTACCAACTCCCGGAGTTTGCTAAAGTCTCCTTTCTTGAAATCCATTGTCTTTAGTGTGCTGTTCTCCCTCCTACCATTCCTTAGAATCATGATCATTTTCACCCAAGTTGTCTTCCACTTTCAAATTCTCAACCAGTTCCTCACTATTTGTCAAAAATCAAATCTAGTACATCCTCCCCCCATTAGTTTTCTCCACCTTCTGAAATAAAAAATTGTCTCTAATACATTCTAAGAACTTGTTGGATAATCTGTGCCCTGCTGTGTTATTTTCCCAACAGATGTCTGGGTAGGTTGAGTTACCGTGGGGTCTACACAGCGAGGGGTCGACAGGAGAAACTCTCCTGTTGACTTACCTTACTCTTCTCATCTGGCATAAAGTTCAGGGGTCGACTGGAGAGGAATCTGCTGTAGATTTGGTGGGTCTTCACTAGACCCATTAAATCAACTGCCAGTGGATTGATGTCAGAGTGTGGATCCCACCTATAATGTAGATGTAGTCTAGGAGAATTCTCCCATTGACCTAACTCCTGGTGTAGACAGTTTAACTCCATTGCTCAGGGGCGTGGATTTTTCACACTGCTGAGTGATAGTTATACTGACCTAATTTCCTAGTGTAGACTCAAACTGAGGAAGTGGAGAGCAAATTTCTGGGACAGCTTTGGACTGAGTCCTGCTCCCAAGCGAATTAGATTTTGTAACCAATGGTTTGACATCCACAGTAAAGTCTTCCAGTCACCAAACCATCCAGAAATGCATGAATTTGATAGTCATGAGTCCTCCTCCCTATTGCCAGACACTCACTTCCACAAGCTTAATTTGTGGAGTTTCATTTCAATGTTAGACAGTTCTGAGATTAAAAGTGGCAAATTCTTACAAGAACTTTCCTTTATTTGGAAAAAAATTGTGGACAATGGAGTTTGCTGTAGATTCTGGTCTGAGCACCAAGACTTTGGGCTGTTTTATCTCAATGCTACTAAAATAACAGTGCTATAAAACAGGTGAAGCAGCAGCTGCCAGTTCCTCTTATTAACTTTAGAATTTCCTTAATTGAAGTATGTGTAAGTATTTCTCTAAAGATCGTATGAAGTGGAAGTAGATTTGGCAAAGGCTACTTGGAAAAGCATTTGGCCATACTAGGCATGGTAATGGAAATGCAGAGACCATCTTCCAGAAAGAAAACATCTTACTTTGGTTGAGTGGAACAACTAAGAAGATGGAGGCTTTACACAAGTATAAGGATACAGGGATTTAGGATAAAACTTGTATGAAGAGTCAAAGAAAATTAAACCTAGATTACTAACTGCTGTGAATGGATGAACTAAAACTAAGTCTACTCCAAGAAAATAAAGTGGTATTAGGTATCTGCTTTAAAAAACTCAAATTTGAACTCTACATTGATAAATGTAAGCTTGATCCCCAGTACACACAAGGTTCTCTTGCCATAGATATACTTGAGTAGAATGCATAGTGAAAGTTCAGCCCAAGAAGGAAGTTCAGTGAGGTACACTAACTTTGGGGCAATTTAGGGACACTGAATAGAAGTTATTGGAGCTAGGGCTAATGAAAATATTCATGAAGGTAATTTGTCGAGCTTTGCACACAGTGAATAATTTTCCAAATGTGTGTGTGAGAGAGAGAGAAGAGCATGACACTTGATTAAAGCTCATTTGACCTGTGGTCCAAGCATCCTAGCTGGCACTTAAGTGAAGCACAGAATCTTAAACAACAGTATTCTCTCTCATTTGATTCAGCTGTTCCTACCAGCACCATTCTGCCTAGGGTATTAGGGGGTTCACTGGTTTAGAAGCAACTCAACAAGAAGAGCAATACTACAACTTTCTGCAGTGTATAGGAGTTCTTATTTATATGCCAAACTTGCTCAATATGTCAAGGTGAGAAGTTTACAAAGCCTTCTTAGAGAAGTGCAGTAAAAATGCAAGTCAGACCAGTTTCTGAAGCTTTTTTTAATCAGATAAGAGTAAACAATTGTATAAAATAACTCAAGAAATTTCTGAAGTCCTGCACATGATTATGACACATTCAGGTGTCTTCCATTGCCCCTGAAGTACCATTGAGTAAAGAAAGAAGTGAAGCCTCTGCTGTCCTGATTTCAGAAGTCAGTGGGCTGGAAAGGCAGCTGCAGCAATGCTCACTTCTGTCTTAAAAAACACACAGGCAGGGCTGCAAACTCTGCCTGTGTGGAAAGTTAATATAACCCACCAGCATTGCTCCATCTTTGGCTAATGGCCTGTCTTATAAATCTAACCAACCACATCCCATAACTCCTGTAAAATTCACGAGTTGCAGGTATGCATGTGCTGTGATAGTTTTCTAAGTTAGGGTCAGGAGTGCAACATTTTTAAGACTTTGGATGGGCATTTCAGCACCACAATAGGCAGCAAATACCACTTGGTCCATCTTAACAGCACAGATTATAAACTATAATCTCTTTAGCACATAGCATCCAAATGGCAAGTTAAAACATGCTTTGTCCATCACAATCTGATTCAATGCATGGCTGTAACACAGTCACAGCAGGACTGATAATTTAAACATGATTTAAAAAAAACTTCTGTGCTACAGCCTGGGCAGCTTACAGCATGATGTATCTGAGTGATACTAGACCACACAATCTAAATGGATCCTGGAGTGCATCAAGAAAACAGACTGAACTTGCACTGGGTCAAGAAACATTTTTGGAATGGTACCATAACCAGTCCACAGTCAATGTCCATCCCATCAAGCTTGAGTTGATCTTCGTAAAAACCAGTTTGTCACACACAAAAATACTTCTGCAAATAATATTAGAGATGGGTCTAGGAGACTATTAAATACAAAATGGCTTATTTTCTTTAAAAAGTGAAATTTGCATCTTTGTTTTTGCACTAGTAATTGGCTCGGTCCCTTCTGTGGTGTGAAACTTTAGACTGGTCTGGATTGTGCCCATCTCCAATTTGATGGATGTTTTTTGAGGGAAGGGGTATCTTGATTAAAGATCACTTAGGAATGTGGAGTGCAACACATCTAGATATTTAGAGACAAGTCCGTGTTTGCTGGAGACCACCGCCGGCCTTACTCCTCTTCTGCCCATTGGGCACTAGCCACATGACCATTAATCCGATTGGCACCATTGCTTGAAGTGCTGAAGATTCCTTTTGTGCTATTTGAAGTCATGTCCTCCTCTTCAGAGCTGCTCTCTACATCACTGCGATCATCTTTTGATACCTGAAAGTTTAAAATCAAAGGTAGGGGTGGAGGAAAGATTACAAATTCACAGGAAACAGCCATTAGAGAGGTCTTGTCTATCTGATCAACCAGTGCAGAGTTGCCCCCTATATTATATTCTTTGAATTATTTAAAGTTGAACCTCACAAGCAGGACCTTCCAACCACATATAGGGAGCGAGGTACAGAATTCAGAATAGGGGACTGAGTCAGGAGATGTGTTATTTTCCAGCACTCTGATTTGCTGTACAGCCTTGGCCAAGCTAACTTTTGCACTTCCAATTCAGTATTATTGCTCTCCTCACATGGGTGTGTTGCTGAAGTTCTTTCAGATCCATGGAAGGAGCCCATAGCAATATATTGCTGTTTGATCCTTCTTCAAGTAGCTAAATTATAGCACAGATTATAAAGGGTGCCTTTCCAAATGGCAAATTAAAACAAATATTTCTAACACTAAATTATGAGTTACCAGCTTGTTCAGACACCTTTTGGTAATCAGCAGGAGGTGGGAAGAAGCATCGGTTTTAGTTGCTAAAGGGATGAGTTTGTGTTTGTTTTTAAGGTTTGCTCGAAAGTACTGATGTTTTATTTCAAAAAGGAACTGGCCCCATTTAGCACATCACCATTTGCGTAAGATGCCTCCCTCGTTAGAGCCTCTGTTTACAGAGAACTACACGGTGGATTAGTTATCTAGGACATCAGTTCCCACACTTTATTGATTCATGTACCACCTTTGTAAAAAGTTATTGTGAAGTGCATTGATGAAATGTCAAGCACATGTTCCACCAGTGGTATCTTTACCACATTTTGGGAACCCCTGTTTTCAGGAATGGGTGTACACATCAAACTCTTAATTTGTGAGCCAAGGTACATTTGAATGGTGGTCTGTAGAAGGGAAAGGTTAATTCATAGTCCTGCAAATGACACTAGGAATGCAGAAAGCATCTATAATCAGAGAGGCTCTATAATTTACATCTCTACAGATGGGCACTCTTAGGTCTTATGATCATAGGATCTATCTAGTTTGCATGTGAAGCTTAGAATCCTCCAAAATTTCTTTCCATGCTTTACAGGGTATTGGCCAGGGAGAGAGTCTGATGTACAATTTCAGAACAAAGTCTGAAGACTAGAGAAGTCAACCATGCACTTTCTTGGTAATCGCTCTTTAAAGTTTACCACAAGGGGGCAGTGTATTATCAGCATAATGCCAAATGATGCACGACAATGTGAAAGACAAGGTGTGTGATGAAATATCTTTTATTGGACCAACTTCTGTTGGTGAAAGAAACAAGCTTTCGAGCTCCACAGAGATGACCAGACCCGATGAGCAGCTCTGAGGAGCTCAAGCGCTTGTCTCTTTCACCAACAGTAGTTGGTCCAATAAGGGATTACCTCATCCACCTTGTCTTATACATCCTGGTACCAACACAGCTACAACACTGCAAACAACAATGCGAAAAGTTCACCACCTCAAATTTAATCACACGCAAGTATCCCAGTAACTGGCTAAATGCCACAGCTATAAAGCCATTGGTGCTGAAAGAGGTGAGCTGTCTCCTTATTTCCCCATTGCCTGTATAGCACTGCCTTACCCTTGCACAGCCCAAGGGAAGCTCCCTGTACCTGGGAGTCTGGAACTAACAGCCCCAGGTATACAGCGGGCAAAGCAGTTTCTCGGTGACTAACATGCCAGCAAAGTACAGGATCAGGCTCAGCCCTGCCTACTCTGAGTTGGGCAAACAGACTCAAAACAGACTCTGAGAGCAAGTTTCCTGACAAATGGAAAAATTTGGCAGAAAGCCAGTACCAGTTAATGATTTCCAGGCTGGGTTTCGACAGGCCAGCTGCATGTGCAAGCTTAATCTAGGAGGTGCAGAATCACCTTTTTATACACTGGCCAATGACAGTCACACAGCCAGTCTATGGCAGAGTTGGGAACAGGCTCTCAGTCCCTTGTTCTAGCCGCTAGACAAACCAGCACCTTAGCTTCCTGTGATCTGTAACCACACCTTGCCTGGGAGCAACTCACAGTGAGGCAGGCAGTTTAAAGGAAGCTGCAAAATGCAGCCCATCTGAAGCCAAACAGCTTTTCAGACTCACAGTTTTGTATTTGTGTCTTAAAGCTGAGAGAGAAAAAGAGACACACATATGGTCCACTCTACAAGCAAAAGCACAGATTACACTTACATGCAAGGGATGAAACTGTCCAGCTCCAATCTGGCACAGAGAAAAGGAGTGAGAAAAGAGTGGAGAGTACAGAGGCAGGCTCTAGTCCTTTCCTGGCTAGGTCACCTGGTCAGGAGAGAAAAGCAAGGAGAGGAGAGAGATATAGACCTCCAGGTGTGGGGACAGCTACACAGACAGATACCGTACTGGGAAACTAGCAGCAGCCATGGAAGACAGTAACAAATGATAATAGACCACACACACACACACCTTGCAACATGCTCCTTCCCCAACCCTCAGAAGGCCCTCCCGCAACACACATTGCCAGAGAACTCTGCTTCAAATATTCCTTTAGGCTAAACAAGTTCCCTACAAATAGACCAGCCCAATAGTCTATAGGCAGTGAAAATGCAGCCACAAGTGGGATTCAGGCTTAGTTCCCAAATAGCTAGGGTGGCGCAAACATCTGTGTTACTGTCTAGCTACCCCTTCTGGTGGAGGATCAAACAGCACTCCCTGGCTCTGAAGGAAGCTGCTTCCAGCCATGACACAAATGGGAAAAAATGGGGAGCAGAAGCCAAGATAATCAAAGTACTCCAGCCTTCAGCCACTGGCCTGAAAACCACTGATTCAATGGGGAAGAACTTGACAGCAAGCTACTCAGGGCCTATTACTAGTCAAATGCCTGTGGATTGGTCTCTTCCACCCCCCCCTGCTGCCTGGAAATCCTCAGCAACAGGGGAAAAGAAACTGTGCTAGAAGCCCATGGATTGTGTCTGGTACAAGCATCCCTCTTCACAGAGCATTTATCTAAAAGCCACAACTTGAAATTTTCCTTCTGTTCCCTGGATGACCATCAGAGCCAGAAGGAGGTAGTTCAGGCTGCCTCCCTGTCATGTCTTTCAAGGCATATGGAAGGACTTCGCAGCACTCTGTTCCAAAGCATCATGTCTTTGATGAAGCAGAGTCGCCCCTCCATAAGCAGACCTGGCAAGAATCCTGGGAACTCCAGTATAACCCAAAAAAGCAGCACTAGCATCAGAGTCCAGGCCAGTAACAGCTCATCTAGGCTTTGATGTGCTGGGGACAGGACGGCAGCTCCAAGAGCCAAGCTCCAAGGCCTTTTATTTTTATTCTACGAGTTGGCTGGGGTGGTAGACAGGCCAAGAAATGCTTATCTTTGAGTGAAGTGGCGCGACAGGCACAAGCTCCAAGTGGGAGAGCACAGTATGCTCCTAGGACAAACACTAACAACTACACTTACACGTACCTCCTCGCTGAGGCAACTGGGCCTGCAGCAGAGAGCAGCATCTTTCCCTCTTACAGGAAGAGCTGCCGTCCCCTTATCCATCAGGAATTCATTCTAACCAGAACGTTCTGCACACTGAAACTGGACACTATAAACAGAATCCCACTAGCCTACTGTCAGCAGGTCCCACTACGTTTCCAGTAGCCTACCATGCCAACCTCACCTGGATTACCTTGTTGCACTGTTGGGATATGCACAGACAGCCCTAGTCCTGGGTTATTACTGTAGTGAGCTCCAGATATTGAAAGAAGAACAGGAGTACTTGTGGCACCTTAGAGACTAACAAATTTATTTGAGCATAAGCTTTCGTGGGCTACAACCCACTTCTTCGGATGCCTAGAATGGAACATATATTGAGAAGATATATATACACATACAGAGAGCATGAAAAGGTGGGAGAATACTTACATGGGGAGATAGATTCAATGTTTGTAATGGCTCAGCCATTCCCAGTCTCTATTCAAGCCTAAGTTGATTGTATATAGTTTGCATATCAATTGAAGTTCAGCAGTTTCTCGATGGAGTCTGTTTTTGAAGCTTTTCTGTTACAAAATTGCCACCCTCAGGTCTGTTACTGAGTGACCAGACAGGTTAAAGTGTTCTCCTACATGTAAGTATTCTCACACTTCTTATCAAACTGTCTGTACTGGGCTATCTTGATTATCACTTCAGAAGTTTTTTCTCTTACTTAAATTGGCCTCTCAGAGTTGGTAAGACAACTCCCACCTTTTCATGCTTTCTGTATGCGTATATACATCTCCTCAATATATGTTCCATTCTATACATCTGAAGAAGTGGGCTGTAGCCCACGAAAGCTTATGCTCAAATATATTTGTTAGTCTCTAAGGTGCCACAAGTACTCCTGTTCTTTTCGCGGATACAGACTAACACGGCTGCTACTCTGAATCCAGATATTGAGCTCATGTCACCCTAAAATGTCGGTAAGGTTGGATTTTGTAACATGGACAATTTCCCCAAGATAGTTAGAGGCTCCTAGGCAGCTCCAGATTAAACCAGGGAGCACAACCTTCCCCACCTCTTACTCCAGAGCAACTGGTCTTCAAGCTGCACAAGAGGAAAGGCAAAAGCCTTGATCAAGTTACCAGAACAAGCAGAGCAATGCACAAACTAAACTGAACTGCATGATGTCATTCAAGCATTTGAGCAGGCCAGACAGCACTATTCACTTGTATGGCCAGACCATCAAGGAGTGTGTGCCTCCCTGTGTATACACTTGGGCCACGTGGGTGCTAGAGCCTGCCAAGCCTAACTGACCAGGACATCCCTAGAGGAAGTGAGTCACTCACAGAAGCAGCAAACCTGCTACCCCTTACCTTGGAGCCAGCACTGGCCTCACTGAACAATGCAGAAGGCTCCCTCTGATTTTCAAACAGATGCCCTGATCCCCTCAGCACTTATGTGAGAGAGGAGCCAGCCCAGCCACAGGCGCCCTTACCTTTCCTCGCATCAGGGCCTTGTAGGCAATGCGAATGATGAGACAGGACCAGATGATGTGCAGAACCTGCAGGGTTACCAACAGTCCATTGAACAACCACCATGAAGGATAAGGACCAATCAGCTCCCAGCTCTCAAACAAGGTAGTATTCAAGATCCTGAAAGAAAATCAAGGCGCTTGTTAGATTGGCTGCTTTGCTGCTTGACTAGAATTCCCAGTTTCCAACTCTGAACTGAGCTGACTGGGCAGATAAATAATAGGTTTCTGTCCTATTTAAGCTTCTATTGCTTTCCTCTTTTCATAGTGTGATGCCCCTGATATACTGTCCCTTGCACAGTGGAGAGAGGCTGGAAACTGGACTTGGGTTAAAGTCACTTGAATTAAGCAGCAATAGGAGAAGATGTGGAGACTCAGAATTTAGGTTAAATATAAAAATCCGCTCCCCATCCTCTTCTCCAGGGTACGATCAGCATTCACAATGGCATCAGAGGAATAGAAGGCAATTGCTTGGATCACCAATGCTGTTTGGGATGTATGCATGGCTTTGAGTGGAGAGATGAGCCTTATTCACATGCATGGATGATCTTGACCACATGTAAAGGTCAGGAAGGAATTTTGCCACCAGGGGGCTTTGAAGAATTTTTGACAGTGAAGCTGCTGTTCCCTTGCTCCTAGCCTTTTCCTCTGTCCCTTCTCTCAAGTCAAAGGAATTGAAAACCAACTAGTGGGTCAAAGCCAGGTGCCTCCTTGAAGATGGCTATGGCATTGTTCTCTTCACTGGGATTTATTGGCAGTACTTAAGGAATTTAATAGAGCAGTTTGATGACTGTTTATAAAGTAGTCACTAGGGGAGATTGCAGAGAGATTTTTTTAAAGATCACTTTGCTTTCAGCATTTATTGAAAAAGTGAGAAATTAACTTTTCAGGGAGGGAATCAAGAGCCTTAGTTGCAGTTAAAAAATAATGGTTACCTAGGAAACAGCTTGTGGTGGAATCAGTATGCAGTTTCATGTCATTACATCACTGATCAGGGAAGGGAACCTGTACTGAGTGGAATAGCATAGCACCTTCAGATGCAACCGGAGACTCACAAGTTCTCCCTATGGAGCTGAGGAATTACATTACAGCCAGTGGAAACCACATTAAAGATTTATAAGACACATTGAGTGTCAGGGTGGTGCCAGAGAGCACATTGCATCATGTCAGAAAATGGGGTGAAGAGCACAGAGAGGATAGTCTCATTTGTCAGTGTAAAGCAGTAACTCCCGCCCCTCTGAAGGGAGCATAATTTGTGGCAGGCAGAGGTGACCGACATTTCCCCTATCTAGACCCCTTTATATTTGTTTGGAGCTATACAAAAATAAATAGGGATGCTTATCCAAGGGCCCTTGGTGCCTCTGCAACAGGGACAAAATTAAAACTAAATAGGAGCTTATCCTACCCCAGAAATACATCCTAAGAGAGGGGAAGTAGGCCTCTGCTGTTTACAAAATAAGGATGTAGGACAATGACAAACCCAGGTGTAGCAGACCTTACAAGACACCTTCCCAAGGAAAACAAGACATGGACAAATACAATCATCAGCAAAAAAAATCCCACCAAGTCTGACTTTGTCCACGTGTGTGTGTACAGGAGGGGAATCTCATTACGGAATGATTGATTACAAACATCTTAGCTAAGATTTCTAAATCCAAAAATACCCCAATACCTATTTCAAGCTCTACGCAGCTAGAACATGGAGTCAGGGCAGACAGTCTTCTGAGACCAGCTAGGTACTTTGGATGACCATAAAGCAGAGGGTCACAAACTGAACCTTGCCTCAGGGAGGATGTGCCTCACTGGCATCTCAACTTTTACAAGATCTTAAAATCACAAGACACAAACCACCTTTGGTTCTATGGGTTTGTCTACACAGGGACACTCAGGAAAGTTTGGACAAATTTACTAATGGTATGAAGTTAATGCACACTAAATTGCTGGGTGAATGCTCTCAGTCAGAAGTAAAGTGGCTTTTACTGAAGCTTAACCCTCCAAATCCACAAAGGTTTTAGGGGTGCTTTAACTTCAGACCTTTATTTTAGTCATCTTAGTTTCCTGTGTAGACAAGCCTGATTTGTAGAATATCTGGCAGTTACTGGCTGGGAGAGTAGGCTGCAATTGATCAGCATTGTTCTCACCCTGCAGTTGGGGGTGGCATTCAGCTGCACTTTTGGACTCTCTGCTCACCCTAGGGGTGCCCCTACAAGGGGATGACAAAACATGAAGAAACCTCAAAGCCTCAAAACCTCAAAGCGCTGCTCCTGAGCAACATTTGGGAGGGATGCAGCTTCATGCCGCCCTGAGGGGCTGGCTGTAATGAGTGAGAAGATCCCTAATACAAAGGCTGCCTTTAGAGGAGGGAAGGAACAAATACTTGACCCTATTCAGAAAGATCCAGGTACTTACCAGAAAGGGTAAATACCCAGTCGAGTGACTATGAACACAACACCAAAGAGCATGAAGGTGGCATCACACAGGCGCTGGTACTTGGCATAATTGGCCAGCTTTGCAGCCTGAGAAAAAACACGAAGTGTTAAAAAAGCATTCACCCGACACAATCATTTGATCACATGGAAAACAGTTCTGGAGCACTCAAGCCACTAAGTCACCAAGGAGTTTGGAACATTTAAGGACTATTATCAACTTGGGAGATGTCATGGGGGAAAAGCCAACAGAGTGGAGTCAGCAGTGCGTGTTTATGCGCCATCCAGCCTGGATTGTGTGGGGACGTGAGGGGTGAAAGGGGAGAGGCTAGGTTTTATCCTCTTGCCTCAAGAGTGTGCTCCTTTGTCATTAGGGATGCAAAGCTCAGACAGGAAGCAGCAGGCAAACTTACCTCTAAGAGGAAGTCTGAGGCATCATGTAGACATAGCACCAGAGTTCCCACCCGCACCATGTTATTCATATAGGAAAATGTAATGAGTCCAATTGTAGCCAAGTGATGGACAAACATGATCAGGAAATCCTGAAAGGGGAAGATGAAATGTGAGGGATCTTTGGCAGCCAAATGATCACAGAGGCTTAGAACAGGGGCACCAGGACTGACCAAAAAATGGCCGTATGGTAATTTTAGGTCAGACTCTCAAGCTCCTTGTTTGCAAAAAGCAGAGCAGATTTCAGCCACAATCATCTTTACTTGGGAGGTGCAGACCACAGAGACTACAGGTCCCAGCATGCTGCATCGTGATTAACAGTTTTGCTTCAATCAAGAGGAAACATTGCATGCTGGGGTTTACAGTAGTCTCCTTGGGCTGCAGCTCTGTAGCAAAGATAAGTACATCTGCAGGCCGCACTGTAAAACTCCAGAGGCCAACATCCGGCCTGCACTTTGACTCTCCCTGCTTTGGGATGACTGCATTGCTAGCATATGTCTACACGGCAAGCAGCAGTGAGTATCAGAGCCTGGGTCTACAGACTTGAGATGTGGCACCATAAATAGCTGTGTTCAGGCTTGAGCCCTGAAATCCAAGGAGGCGGGTGGGCTTCAGAGCCCGAGCTTCAGCCCAAGACAAAACACCTACATGGCTGTTTTTACTGCCGTAGTCTGTAGACTTGCTGCTGCAGGTTTCTGATTGCCGTGTAGATGTACCCCTAAGGTCCACTCTAGAAATCACTGACATGAGTAATAAGAAATAGACCGGATATTACTGCTATCAACTGGGAAAAGTCCACCTGAAGTAAGGCAAGCAGAGGCAATGCATGATCCATACACCAGGGCATGCCCGGCAATACAGTAACAGCAACTCAGTCCATTAAAATTCTACAGCACAAAAAATGGGCCCAATTTTCTGACATAGCCCCCCACCCAATATCTACATCCTGTATTTGCATCTTTGTAAAGGCATTTCAAGTGGGGAATTAATCCAATTTTGTAGTGCTGAATTCTTTATTAAAATGAATAAAAAACAGTGCCCCAATTGCTTCTCTCTCCATTTCTGCAGCTGCAAGATCTACTGTAGCATGCTTGACTTTGTATTTCAGGACAGAACAAATCCAGAAATTACAGACTAATTTTGGGTGGGGGGAGGGGGCGACAAAGTCAATACAAGAATTGGGACAATTTGCTACTTTGCACTTTATAGAGCAAGAGTGATAAACTGCTGGTTTCCTCTGAACTGAGAGTTTGTTTTCCAAGGACAAAACACTAAGCCAATGCCTAAAACTCAGCAGAGTGGAATTAGATTTTAGTGATCATGACCAGCCATCACTCTGCTATTCACATGGATCATTTTTTTAAATCATTGCTACCGTCTCTGCCCCTTGCTCATCCTGTTCAGCGAGGCATTCAGTTGTAAAGATAAGACCGGAAATCTTGTCATTGATTTCTAAGGTAGAAATAATTCCCACATCTTTTGGATTGCTGCTCAACTGCAAGTGAATGTCACAGCTCCTGGAAATGCCAGTTAGCACCAACTTTTATTCAACTGACCTGCTTTGGCATTAAGGTACCCATGAGGACTCGCTCTGAATTTACAATATGGAGATTTGACTTCTATACATACCTCATTTGGGATTGTCACTATTTTATGGATACTAATGACCAGTCAATGTAAATATAGTAGCCCAGGAGACCTTTTATTATCCAAAGCTCTCAAAGCATTTTACAAACGTTAATGAGCGTAGCTTCACACCACCCACAACAGTATTATCTATGTCATGTTAGAGATGAGGAAAATGAAGTTCAGAGGTAAAATACCTTGCCCAATGAGACACAAATTAGTCAGTGGCAGACCTAGGAATAGATCTATCTGTCCTGGGTTTTAACCTCCACACAATATTTTCTCTCACTTAACAATGAAACCCGGGATTGCCCAAATCAAACCTTAGCAAGGCTCTTCTGTATAAGCCCCTCTAATGGATCAAGACCAGGTTTAGTTAAACATGATTGCTGCTAAATCAAACTTCACTGTTTAAACAAGTTACCCAAAGAGGCTTGGTTCCTTCAAGTAAGTATCTTTTCATTTATTTCTCTAATCAACAGTCCTTGTACTTGTGGAACCTTTTGTGGCTCCATTCTAAACTTTTATAGTACCACCATTTACATACATAATTTTAAGGATTTAAAAAATAGTGTCAAGAAAGTTTAAAGTTGAGATATGATTTTTTTCAGACTCTTGTCTCCCTGCCTGAATTTCCTATTACCCCATGACCAGCGTGAAAGTGGGAAAGGGTGAGGAATTAAAGTATTTCTTAGGGCTCTCCCTGAGTTCTTCAGTTGAATTAAAGTAACACCCAGGGACATGCTGGAGACTAGAAGACACTCACTACAATGACCCCGTGCGCCATCACAATACGTTGGGAATGTACTCCAGGAGCTCAAGATTCTTCTTGCACTGTCCCTCATTTCAACATTACCTGGCTGTCAGCTTCTCTTCCTCTGGGACACAGCCCATTTCTCCCACTGCGAGAGTGAAAGTGGGCACCAGCACTGCCAGGTATGCATGGTCCCATGCTGTACTCATCTCTTCCCTACTTCAGTACAGATCGTCCTCACTCCAGTACAGCTGAACAGCAGTGGGGCTGTTCATTCACATCCTTCATTCTTCCCCCTTTCCCTAGCCACCAAACTTAACATTAAGACTGAACTCACACTGTTGCCTGTAGCTATGTAACTCTGTTTCCCTCCCTATAATACTCCAGCAGCAATTGCTTGATTTCCCCCATTGTCAGATGAAGCTTCTGGCCCTCCCAGCAAAGTGTCTGATAGGGTCTTTGTTAGCACACTCTGATCAGAGATTGGTCAGTCCACTCCCAGTTTAAGTGACTGGGCCCAAAATGCTACATAAAGAATAAGAACAGATAAGTGAAACTGGCTAAACATGTGAAACTGACCACTCTATTTTCACTGTGTGAAATACAAAGACTAATTAGTGTTAATAGCCAAAAGTAAATTAGATGACAGTAAAACTAAAAAGTAAAGTTATTAGCAACAGGAAATCTTAATTTAAGAAGTTATTAATTTCAACCTGATAGCGTCCCCTTAGATACAGTACCACATTTCATACTGACAGTCACAAATTATGGTGTTTCATCCAGCTTGGATGGAGCCTGTGAGACAGGATTCTTGTCACATCACTTACCGCTTATACACAATAAACAGCAATCTATTTACACACAGCCAGATTTCAATAAAAGTAAAAACCCATAAGCAAAATTTTAAGATTACAGTTAAGAGTGAAACTCCAGGTTGGCACTCAAGCACAGATTTGATAGCATTTAAATGATAACATCTTACAAGATTCACTTCCTACCTTACACATTTGCTGTCTCATGACTATTTTCTTGATAATTGCCCACTAATGTTCTACTTTTTCTCCTTCACCATCATCCCCTGAATTCAATTCCACTGCTTAATAAATCCTGGGTAATATTTTACAGTGGCCAATCCCTGTTTATTTCTCCCAAGACTGCATAATGTATCTGTACTGATGGGGTTTTAACTAAGAAGCTCCCAATTTGAATTGTTACTTGACAATGACCAGAATGTCTAAGGAAGTTGTCTCCAGTTTGTGCTATGCCCTTCTCAGCTTTGTACTTTTCAGTGTCTGTTTGGTTCAACTGTTTGGATTTAATTTCTAATCAGATTCTGCATTTTATCTAGACCAATACTGACTTGCTAGCAGTGCTTCATCTTCTAGGAGTATTTGGTGTGTATCGAGAGACTGCTGAAGATGGGATTACTCAGGCGGATAATCACAACTAATGTTACGTCTCTATGGGTTGTTTACTGTACTAAAAACAGGAAATCATACCCAAAATTTAACCTGTGAGATAAGTGCCACCCAGACAAAGGTGTGACTAGCTTTGTAACACAGTACTTCCTGAAACTGGCTGGGAAGATGTATATCAACCTGCTTTATGGGGTTGGAGGAATAACTTGGAATCCCACTTCTTCACTGGGGATGGGAAGTTCTCTCTTCAGAAGGGAGTAAAAATATATCAAGTTAAGAAAGCCTTGCTTGATCACATAAACAAAGCCAAAAAAATTCACTAAGCTCCTCTATATTTGTTTGTAACTAAACAGAGGACTGTATGTATGTGTGACTAACAGATATAGACATTGGAGCTTAGGAAAGAGAAGTCTATTTTAAATGCATTTGAATGAAAAATCATTGGTGTTGTGGAAGACACACAGTGTTCCGTAGGAACAGCAAGGAGACTCTTCCCCATATGAACTGAGACTCAAGGAATTTCCAAAATCACTTGCCAAGCCCAAAAGAAGAGGTGCAGGGTAACATCTTCTGAAGTGCTTAAGTTACTTTCAGTGGGACTTCGGTTCCTACGCACCCAAGTAACTTTTGAAAATGGGGCTTATGCTCCTAAATCACTTAGCACTACATATAAAAACTTCTAGAGCATGTGAGAAGTAGGTTAGCTCAGTCACAGAGGGAAGCCATGCTCCCTATAGAATAATACATAAAGTATTAGTCCTCTTTATTTTGCCAAAACTAAAAAGCTTTATTCTAGCCTCACCACCCATGTCTAGAAAATGTTTAGAGCATTTTATTTCTATATTTTCCTGTAAGTCTCCTAATTAAAATATATTTGTATACAAAGATTGAATCAACTGTTCTATTGGGATATATGGATAAATTCCCCCCTCTTCCCTCTGCAGAGTGATAGGGATGGGCTGCCAGGTTGCTTATCAGGATAGTCCCCAAAGGCCTGTCTGTGTATGGTCTACAAAAGAAAGTGGAATGTGAAAAGAGACGAGTGACAGGAAAATGCAGTTATAGCTATATTTAAGCAGTTTTTACTAGCCAGAGAGACATAATTACTCTGTTAGCCCTGTGTTTAGTGAAATTCTGGCTTCTCTTACCTTCCGTTTAATGTCTGTAAACTGAGAAAACATGAGAGACCAATAGAAGGCCAGCTCCATGATATAATAATAGTAAAGACTGGATATTAGGGGCTGGAAAAAACACAAAACAGAACACTTGATTAAAAGGCAAAGTACTCCAAAATTTGCATTAATAGACTTTTCCCCCCACCCCTAACAACCAACCCACCTCTCCTGTGGCCCCAGCCTTCTGGAGGAGTGGAGGTAGAAGAGGGGTAAGTTAAAGGTCCCAAATTTATGTTTTGTAAAAAACAGGTTTAATCAACAGAGGTCTATGGTTTAGATTTATTTTTAAAGGAATAAAATTCCCTTTCAGTGTTTGCAACCTAAGAACTGTGGCCTCCTGTTGAAGTAGAAGAACAAGGAGGGGAACCTGACTGGCTGTCTACAATTATCTGAGCTGAATGAAGTGCAAAAAGAAAACTGCAATTAATGGTGACGGATATAATTACATTTGTAAAATTGCTCTACTTTTAATAATCTAAGTACCAGATAGGGAAATTTGTTTTAAAATATATGAGCTGGTGATCAGTCCAGTTTGATGAACCAGTGTCTACACCATGAAAAATACCACATCACAACTACCCTCTTGTGAGCAGTCTGAGCTCAAAGGCCAAGAACTGCATGGGCCAGGGAAGAACTCTGCCCCCACACTCAGAGGTGAAATTTCCTGAGCAGAGCAGTAACTTATGGACTAGAAGTTTACCTTGTTGCAGCCTGTACTGCATCTGCTCTATGGGCAGTGAGAGGCATTTAGATCTCACAAATTTAATGTGATACCATTTCACATGGAACAACATTGGAGACATGCAAAGGGATCAGTTCTCAAAACTGAGGGACTTCAGAAAACAGGAGCATCACACATAAGAACATAAAAACGGCCAAACTAGGTCAGACCAAAAGTCCATCTAGCCCAGTGTCCTGTCTTCCGACAGTGGCCAATGCCAGGGGCCCCAGAGGGAATTAACAGAACAGGTAATCATCCAGTGACCCATCCCCATCGCCCATTCCCAGCTTCTGGCAAACAGAGGCTAGGAATACCATCCCTGCCCATCCTGGCTAATAGCCATTGATGGGACCTATCCTCCTTGAATTGGTAAATATATATCTTACTTGAAAAGGGTAGTTGTACCAGCATTGTCGTGTGTCCCAAAACCAGGGTGACTAGAGTGAAAAGAAGAGATTATCTTACTAGCATTTTTCTCCCCATATGCTCTGGTTTTGGCCAATTAAATCACTTCATCCCTACCACAATACTATTTCAAAGGTCTTCACCTTGCTTCTTTGGTCCAAGCTACATTTATTCTGGGGTTTCACAGAGATGAAAGCCATTTTTTTGCATGCAATCACATGCCACTGTGCACATAAAAATTCAAAGTGGAAATGTAGAGCTTTGCAGAGCTCTGTGCGAAGACAGTCCAGAGAGATGGATCTATGTCCTTGCAAGTGAGAAAACAGAGTCTGCTTAAGAGTGGACAGGCCCATCCTGTTTTGGCATCAGAGAAGAGAGTCATCTAGCATTTCTGACAGCCTTTCCTGTTTTGTGAAGGCATGACTCTAAATTAAAATACACAAGGGTCCTGACTAGGAAGCATAAGGAAGATCTAAGGCCACTGAACTCTTGCTATTTTAGTCCCATATTATGTCACTCAGAGCAAGCAGAGAAAGAAAAAACACACAAACTGAACTCACCGACCAGATAAATTTGAGTCCATAAGAAAATATACTTAAATAAAACATAAACCTCCACCTGTGAATGGAAATGAGAAAGGGAAAAAATTAAACGTTTGAAGTTAAATGAGCATTGTATGGTTAATGTTTGTATAGCAAAAACTGGAATAATTATAAATGGAACCGAATTTGGCAGTTACAGGAGTGGAGTTTTCACCCACTACTGTGTAATTCTCCATACATGGCAAATTGACTGATATTGCCCTTTGGAATATCTGTCCATCAAAATAAAAATATTAAACAGCATAGCTCCAAAAAAGTCTACAGATTGTCTTGGAAATACATACCAAGGTTAATGCCAAGTTATACATCTCAGTATGTACATATGCTAAGGCAGCAACTCTAAAGAAACCATTGTGATCTAGTGCAATATATATGACAATACCCTGGACAAACCTTATGGAATTAGAGATTAACATTATTGAATTAAGTTCAATACTTTGGAGTCCACTGTATTTAAAAAGAAATTATGTGTGTGTTATTGTGGAATTGTATGCAACTTCTCTAGGGAACTGACTAATCCTAACCCTTCCCAGAGATTGTAACTTCAAACACTTCCTGGGACAATGTGTGTGATATGGAATTGTACAGACTCAGCCTTTGAGGCTTCGCCCTGAGGGAAGGGACCTACTGTCTGATGATCCCTTGTTATAGGAGGACAGGTCAAAGACCCAATCTGGATTCTCCAGGGACCAACAGACAAAACACAGTTTTTTCAATAAGGAGCCTGAATTGAACCTCACTCAGGGCCTTCCTTGTGATCCAAAAACTGGACAGGACCTCTGGGACCTAGGAAAGGGTTGGAAGGACTTGGCCTACTGAGACCCCATAAGACTGCTTGCTAGTTCTGAGCTAAAGCTGTTATGAACTTAGGACCACGAGAGAGCCCTTTGGGGTCTGAAGGATTCACCTGCCAGACGCCATGTTAGAGCCAGTTGGGGTGATCTCTGGTAAGCTTATTAGCATGACTGTAGGTACTTCTATTGATTTTAATGTTTTCTCTGTAGTGCTTTTAACCTAAGAATTAAATAGACCTGCAGAGGAAGTCCTGTGTGGTAACTTATAACTGTCTGCAATTACACTGTGTATCAACTCTAAAGGGAGAAGCTAAGCGGGCCTGCTTAGGCTGGAAAAAACACACAGTGAAGGCAGGGAACTCTTCAGCCTGGAAATATTCTGGTCAAGGAGGTGACAGATGAGGATCTCCACCCAAGAAAGGCAATGGCTAGAGGGCCAGAAGCCTGACAGTGGGTGCCACTGCTGGACAACTAAGGGGAAATACAGGTGCAGTTGCCCTGAAATGTGACAGTAGGCACATAGCAGATGCCCTAGTACACATAACATGTTTCAAACTACACTTGCAAGCCAATTAAGACAGATATAGGGGAAGTCCTCCTCCCATTCCTATTTGTTCATCTTATCGGGTGCCTCTAAGTATATAAAGCTTTACTTGCAGGGGGAGGAGGGGGAATGTTGGGTAAGAATTACATGAGGATATTAAGGAAGTGATTGGGAAAGAGAAACCACCAAAGAAGGAGCAGGGAAAGGTGTTCAGAAACTACAGCAATGGGGGGTCATGTAAGTACCTAGACCAGATGTCGGCAACCTTTGGCACGCGGCCCATCAGGGTAATCCGCTGGCGGGCTGCGAGACATTTTGTTTACGTTGACTGTCTGCAGGCATGGCCCCCCGCAGCTCCCAAGGACCGCGGTTTGTCATTCCCGGCCAATGGGAGCTGCGGGAAGTGGCGCGGGCTGCAAGGACGTGCTGGCTGCTGCTTCCCGCAGCTCCCATTGGCCGGGAACGGCGAACCACGGCCACTGGGAGCTGCGGGGAGCCGTGCCTGCAGACAGTCAACGTAAGCAAAATGTCTCGCGGCCCCCCAGCGGATTACCCTGATGGGCTGCGTGCCGAAGGCTGCCGACCCCTGACCTAGACAGAAAGAAGCAAAGAGCAAGATAATGAACTGAAGTGAGAGTGAGATGGAACAAGAATCCAGAAAGTGTCCATACAACATGTGCCATTGCCTAAGCCACGAAGTTAGTTCAGGAAAGTGTCTTGTCTAGGAAATCAGACTGTCCAGACAGCTCACCCTTGTCTTGAGGGGAGTTACTCAGTTGAATACACAAGGTGAAGTGTTACCATCTGCATGAGAAATATGGTCCACTATGCAAGCCTCTCTTAGAAAGGGATCATTGGCCATTGAGACCATAAATATTCTTGTAGAGCTGTCCTGGTCTCTCATGGCACACATATCAATTGATATAACAGCATGCTAAAACCCAGTCTAATTTTCTCTCTATTGGTCTGGGTGGAAACTTGTTAGGTTGGCATTTTTCTCCCTGTGATGGAGTGAACCCCCCCATCACCTGTGAGAAAGAGTTAAAGGCCAGTTAGGCACAGTCACTCCACCTGGCACTAATTAGTTACTTGTCAGCAAGAGAGGGTTGGACTAAAGAAGGATCAGGTGATAAGACCTGGGTGACTGTTCAGTTATCAATAGGAGGAGAGGATTCAGTCTAGAGAGAAGCTGCAGAGAGCAGACAGGAAAGGGGAATCCTGGGAAATGCTGAAGGGCCAGAGACTGCTGGAGGCTCGTGTACTTGATACCAGAGCCAAGTAAAGGCAGTGGAACTCCAGGAAAAGTTGAGCACAGGGCCCACAGACTGGGGGGTTTTTTGGACTTTGAACTACAGTTGGACATTTTGTTCGCCTGAAAGGAGGCTGACCTAGCTGCTTCTCAGACGGAAGACTGAGTGGCATCCAAAGACAGACAACCTGCAGGGGACACCAGGGACAAAAACCCATGCAACATTGTATCCTGACAAGGAGATGCACGCACATCTTTACACTTCCCATAGCACCGAAAGACACCAAATTACATTAAAAATTCAAAAATTTCAGTTAAAATACAACACGCAACTGGAGCTTGAACTGAGGCCATATTTTGGGCTCTGCACAAACCTACATGCTCTCACAAAACTTAGTGAGGATGGTGGGTTTGTCCTGGTTCCTACGATGGCGAAACCAGCGCTGGATCTTTCGAACATCCCAGTCTAGCTGCTTTGACAAACCTTCTAACCTTCTTCCATCTGGACACTGAGAAGAAATGAAACAAAAAAGTCAGACATTTCTTCTGCCTCCCCAATCTTCCACAGAGACTTCTTTCGCTCCCAAATCTTCTGTCTGAGACATTTCCTCTCTAAACCTGACCTTTGTCACAAAATTGAGATGTAGAGACAGAGAATGAAAAATCATGCTAGGAAAGGTGTAATCTGCTAAAAATTCAATTTTAGAAGGAGAAATCTGTTGAACTCTAACCAGTAAAAAAAAAAATTATATTCACGTTTAGCCTTCACACACACACATTACCCACCATTACAAGAATTCAGATACATTTAAAAGTAAGTGGGTTCAACGTTTCCTCCCCTATTCCTCCTCCAATTCTCCCAACAGCAGCACTGATACACAGGAAACAATTTACCAGCTAACTAGCATTCCACAGTATAGTACATAGGGAATTTTTAGCAAGCTGGTCTGGTCTATCAGCAGAAATCTGCATAAAAGCTTGAGCATTCCACTGATATGAATAGTCAGAGTTGAATCCCCCTAGGGTAGCAGGAGTGCATAGTCATGACATGACAACGTCTCTTGATTTGAAATAAGGGCTCAGATTTGGCCAATCTTAAGTGTTTATGAATTCCACAGGCATAATACACAGATGTTGACATTTCTGTAGATTGCTGTTTGTAACTTCACAAATATAACAGAATTCTCTCATAGGTACAATATGATACTTAATAACCCAATCTCTGACTGGGGTCTTCACTGGTATAGATTTTGTTTTTTTAAATAAATAGTGACATGAGTTAGTATAGAAGAGCAGACAAAATGAACTAAACCTTTACAAATGACCACTGCTGAGGTAGGTCAAGTTAGTTTTAGTCCTTTTAATAAGCTCTGCCAGGGAACTGCTACAACCGAAAGAAGCTAAACAGGTTTCACAACTTACGTTTACCTACAAAACCGGACTGATATGCAGAGTGTTGAACTAGCAAAGAGGGCCACCGCACACTGTTCAATATAATTTGAATGACAGAAAAATCTTTGCTCTAAGGGTGAAGTGCAAGAACTACTGCCACCTTCCCGCAATTCCATCACACCCATTTTCTCTTTCATGTAGGCTTTAGGGGCTTGGGCTACCTGGAAAGGATGTTTCTGCATTGGGAGTGCAGATGCCCTCATCTAAAAGGAAAAGTCATAAGGCTTGTTTTATAGAACACTAGTTTCAGAAGAGGTGGTAAATTTTTTCCACATCAATGTCATCCTCTATGCTGATTCCTCAGATCTAAGCCAATAGTATTTAAGTAGCTATAGTAGTCCAGGCAAATGAAGTTTTGTTTAAGTTCTGAACAGCGCAGTCCCCGCTCTTGGGTGCGTGTTTCATTTTCAACATTACTTTCAAAGACACTGATACACGAGCTTCCTCCCTAACACTGGCAAACCACAAATCTCCTTCTACTTATCTGCAACTCAGGCTGCATAATAGACCACGTTAAGCTCCAATGAGACTAGCTTTTACTGGGGACACTTTAATGTCTTCCATTGCACTCACTAAGAAGCTTCTCTCCCAGAACACCTGGCAATGTTACCATATCTGAATATAGAAGTCTCTGTTTTATTTCCTTACACGGGAGTCTGTGATTTTATCAGTTTAACAGTCAGTATTCAAGAAATTATGGACAACCTGCAAGATTCAGTCATTCAATAGTGAAACAGCATAACAGGCAGATATTCAAATGAAAGAGTGATTCTATGATTCCTCTCAGCCACAGGACTGGAAGTGACCTTGAGAGGTCATCTAGTCCAGTCCCCTGCACTCGTGGCAGGACTACGTATTATCTAGACCATTCCTGACAGGTGTTGGCCTAACCTGCTCTTAAAAATCTCCAATGATAGAGATTCTACAACCTCCCTAGGCAATTTATTCCAGCGCTTAACCAAGCTGACAGTTAGGAAGTTTTTCCTAAAGCCCAACCTAACCCACCCTTGCTACAATTTAAGCCCATTGCTTCTTGTCCTATCCTCAGAGGTTAAGAACAAAAATTTTTCTCCCTCCTCCTTGTAACAACCTTTTACATACTTGAAAACTGTTATGTCCCCCCTCGGTCTTCTCTTTTCCAGGCTAAACAAACCTATTTTTTTTCAATCTTCCCTCATAGGTCATGAGTTCTAGACCTTTAATCATTTTTGTTGCTCTTCTCTGGATTCACTCCAATTTGTCCACATCGTTCCTGAAATGTGGTGTACAAAACTGGACACAGTACTCCAGTTGAGGCCTAATCAGCGCAGGGTAGAGTGGAAGAATTATTTCTCGTGTCTTGCTTACAACACTCTTGCTAATACATCTCAGAATGATGTTCGCCTTTTTTGCAACAGAATAACCAGAAGAAAATCTACTGCCAACATTCAATAGTCTATCCCTCAACGGGACTCTTCTGTTAGCATTTATTATTGAACTGCTTTCTTTCTACAACTAGATTTCTGTAGTGATAAGCTATCCAAGTCTGCAGAAGTAATCTGAAGAAGGCATCTGTGGGACTGACTAGCAAGACCAGCACAAGAATGGTCCCCAAGGAAGAGAGTGGTAACTTCTAAGGAGAGAGTGAAAAATACAGGGGAATCTCTTAGTGAATATTGGAAATTTGAGAGTTACACTCTGTACAGAAATTCAGGGGCCTGAAAGAACTCACGTTCTCACTTTGTTCACATCAAACCACTCTTCTGCTTGCAATACTGTGGCTCAAGCACAGACAGAACTAAAGTCACTGCAGGAAACAGGAAAGGAGGTGGACACAGTCATATGTGAACTAAAGCAAGGAGCAAAAGTTACTAAGAGAAACCGGTATTTTTTTGTACACAAATTCCAATCAGAGAGTTATGTGAGCTGCAAAGTGTATTTCCCTAAGGCGACAAAAGAAGAGAGGCCCAGTTCTCATTTATGTGCCTGAACCTCTCTCAGAACCTGAAGAGTGACTTACCTTAGTGATGGATGTAAACACTTTCTCTAGAATTGCATTGGGCTGAGCTCTGTGAGGTCCATTGTCTTGAATGCCAAGCTTTATGGCACATGGTTTGGCAATAAACCTGAAAGTCCAAAAGGAAGAGTCCAATTAAAATAAGAAATTAATTCCCCTTCTCTGTGACTAAATTATCTTGGCTCTGAATGGTCACAAATACCCCAAACACACTTTTCAAGAGATGCACCCCTTTTGCCCAATGCAACCTTTTTCAAGCTGGTACTGTATAATCACTGGCCCCAGGATTTCCTTCTGCCAATGCCAAGGAACAGAGTAATGCAGTGAGAACACATGGGGCAGAGGGTTACGGGATAGTCTCTTTGGTGAGTTTGTATTATAGCATTTTTATCCTTGTCAGCAGAGGGTTTTAGTGCTTATGAGAGATGCTAGATGGAGCCCTGCAGACCGAGGTTTGCTGTACATTCACAGAACTAGTGCAGCTGCAGCAGGACAAGCTTCCTCACTAATGTTTCTCACCTGCGATCTGGAAGAAGCACCTCTAGAAATGGAGGGAGCAGACAACTTATTTGAACCAGAGTTTTTTTATTTAAATTTTAGAGTTTGAAATGCTTCTGAATGGCTACATAATTGTAACATATGGGACAAGTGTTAGAGAATTTGAGAGTACTCCTTAAGGAAGAAGAGGGTAAAGATGGCCTTGTGGTTAAGACATAGGATTGGGAATTGGGAAACCTGGTTTCTATTCCCAGCTCTGCCAAACTGCCTCATTTCCCCAGCTCTGCCTGCCATGGATGTAGTGAGGCTCGAATTAAAGTTTGTAAAGAGCCTGGAGTCCAGTGAATAAAGGTATACATCACCACCATTTTAAAACCAACACCCAATAATCCATAACTCTCTAAAACAGAAGCCACATAATCCTGGAAAATGATAGGAAGAAAGAAAAGGAAGAAGTTGCTCGTAAAGTCTGGGGTAGAAGTATATACCTAAAAGGTCATGAAGAGAGGGAGAGGCATGTAGTTAATCTTGAAAACTTGAGTAGGTCCCTCACAACTCTGAGCACCCTCCTTTCCGTTGCTGTGACACTCTGAAAAGCACCTTCTGGTCTGCAAGAGGAGTGCAGACACACTACTTTTTCAGATGAAGATGCTGCAATTGGTGCCCAAAGAAGCAAGGCATCCTTCAGAACATCATTCTTGTAGAATATTATTATGTAGACTCTGACCAAAACATGCATGCATCAATATAGTGCCTGCCAGCACAGGCCTCCAAGTACTTTACAGACACTACTGAATTTAACCTCTCCTCTCCCCCCTCCCGCCCCCATGCAGGGGTATTGTCCCAGTTCAATTAATATCCACTTCAGTTCTGGTCTATTTAATATCATCCTCCCTCTAGGGACAAGATTTCCAGTTTAGAGGTGGTCTTGCTCCAGAAGAAAGAAGGATGACTGAGAAGAGTCTTAAACAATCCCAGAGAGAGCTTGTCATAAACAGGGAAGAGTACTGTATTAATGTCAGGTTGTTCCTGTCCAATGTGGAGATTCCAATCTACCAAAATAATTTAGTTTTACTGATAGAGAAGAGGTTTTATTTCTAACATATGACAACAAGTCACCAAGTGTAAACAAAAAACAGGGTTTCTTCATTACTTAAATGGTAACTTCTAACAGGGCGGACCTGACAACAGTCTTCAAATATGTTAGGCTTTTATAAAGAGGACTAATCAATTGTTCTTCATGTCCACTGAAGGTAAGATGAGAAGTAAAGGGCTTAACCGGCAGAAAGGGAGATTTTAGGTTAGATATTAGGAAAAGCTTTCTAACTATCTATAAGGGTAGTTAAGCTCTGGAATAGGCTTCCAAGGAAGGTTGTGGAATCCCCATCATTGAAGGTTTTTAAGAGCACGTTGGACAAACACTTGTCAGGGATGGTTCTAGAGTTACTTGATCCTGACTCAGAGCAAGAGGCTAGACTTGATGACTTCTCGAGGTCCCTTCCAGTTTTATTTTCTATGATCTTTCCCGTTCTTCTCCACACACTGCTCTAGAGAAAGTCAGTTTGAAAACATGCATTGAAACTCCGCAGATAATCTGGAGAAGATTCTGAACTATCACAGTAAATGGAACAATAGCTTTCGCAACAGGAAGAAGGGTCATTCATGACTCTCCCTTTCAACTCAAGCACCAGGAAAAAGTAAACAGTCCCTGAGCCTCTGCTGCTTCCTGGCTGGAAGAGGCATGTAGAATTGTCACTGAATTAAAGACCTCTAGATATGGGAGCTAAAAGGTTGCTCCCTCCCTACAGTCTAAGAGTCTCTGCAGAGTCTAAGGAGAGTTGACTATTAATAAACACTGCCCCTATTTTATAAATAAAGCCTAAAATGCAGTATTTCCTCTGGTCCAGAGATTATGATGATGCTTATTTTTTACCCAGATAAACAGATAATAAAAACCCTAAGCAAAAACAGACAGCAATAAAAACACCAATGTAAATATTCAAATTAATTGAATGGGGCAAATTCTTAAGTGATGTTGAAGCCATAGGGTACCTTTTCACTGCAGAGTTAACTCAAGTGTAGATAACGAGTGAGACCAGCAACACTGCTAAATAAAACTCAAGTGGCACAGTGACTGTGTTAGCAGATGACATGCTGTGCTGACTTAAGTTGTACTCTGTACTCCGATGGGTCAGCAAACTCTAGTTAAAAGCATCACCATACTCAGTTTAAGGGTTTTTGTACGTTGATAAGATTCAAGTTGGGGGCAACACTAATTATAACTAGAGTTAACATGACAGTGAAGACAAACCCTGGCATACACTACAATCCTCATCATTGTCGACACCAGCTGAGCTACTAAATACGAACATTAGGCCTGGTCTATGCTTAGAAGTTAGGTTGACATAGCTATGATGCTCAGAGGTGTGGAAAATTCACCTCCTGAGCAAAATCATGCCAACCTACCCCTGCTGCAGAATGCTTCTGTTGACCTAGTTACCACCATTAAGGGGGGTGGAATTCGTGCAGCGCTGCAAAAACCCCTTCCATCATTGTATGAAGAGTCTACACTATGGTGCCACTGCAGTGCCATTGTAGCACTCATAGCATAGACATTGCCTTAGTCAGCGTATGTCACTCACAAAGGAGGGCCTGAAAAACAAAAGCTCACATAGGTGTGAATGTCTAAACTAAGTGCTGAAGCCTTTGTAGTGCCATTACTTTTGAAAATACCTGGGCCTTGTCTACACTGGCAAGTTTCTGTGCAGTAAAGCAGCTTTCTACAGTGCAACTCCTGAGCTGTACACACTGCCAAGCCACTTAGTGCGCAGAAACTGTGCAGTAAAAAAACCCACCCCAACGAGAGGCATACAGCTTTCTGCGCCGGGGCTACAGCGCCGCAGTGCCACTGCAGACATCCTGGTCAATTGCAGTGCTGCGATTGGCCTCCAGGAGGTGTCCCACAATGCCTGTTCTTGCCTCTCTAGTCATCGATTTGAACTCTACTGCCCTGCCCTAAGGTGACCAACCGTGAGCCCAACTCCTTAAATTCCTTGGGAATTTTGACAGTCCCCTTCCTGTTTGCTCAGTGACGCATGCAGTGGTCTCAGCGCATCTTTCCAGGTGCCCAAGCCTGCTCCATACACCAGGCGATCCCCCGCTTGGAGAATGCCGAGCTGCTGGACCTTGTCAGCATTTGGGGAGAGAAGGCTGTCCAATCCCAGCTGCGCTCCAGCCATAGGAATTATGATACCTACAGACAGATTTCATGATGCATGACAGAAAGGGGCCATGACTGGGACACACTGCAGTGCAGCGTCAAAGTGAAGGAGCTGTGGAACGCCTACCACAAGGCATGGGAGGCAAACCGCCGCTCCAGTGCTGCGCCCACGAGCTGCTGGTTCTACAAAGAACTGGACGTGATACTCAGTGGTGACCGCACCTCCACTGGAAAGGTCACTGTGGATACTTTGGTGACCCAGAACCGATCCCTGTGGGACCTCACTCGTTATGCCCTTCCAGCATGACTGTGAACTACTGATAACTACTCTCTGGTAAAGATTTTCCAACCAGTTATGCACCCACCTTATAGTAGCTCCATCTAGGTTGTATTTCCCTAGTTTGTTTATGAGAAGGTCATGCGAGACAGTATCGAAAGCCTTACTAAAGTCAAGATATACCACATCTGCTGCTTCCCCCCTATCCACAAGGCTTGTTACCCTGTCAAAGAAAGCTATCAGGTTGGTCTGACACAATTTGTTCTTGACAAATCCAAGCTGACTGTTACTTATCACCTTATTATCTTCTAGGTGTTTGCAAATTGATTGCTTAATTATTTGCTCCATTATCTTTCCAGGTACAGAACTGACTGGCCTGTAATTCCCCGGGTTGTCCTTCTTTCCCTTTTTATAGATGGGCACTAGATTTGCCCTTTTCCAGGCTTCTGGAATGTCTCCTGTCTTCCATGACTTTTCAAAGACAATTGCTAATGACTCAAATATCTCCTCAGTCAGCTCCTTGAGTATTCTAGGATGGAACAAAACAAACAGCAACAGCTGCATTAGGGCAAATACATGCCATTTGTATTTGCCCAATTTAGAATGGCTCCAGCAGAGCAGTCATGATCTATATCAAATCCTTATGGAAAAACTGTTTCTTGCTGGAACATACCAACCTTCTGATCTGATCGTCCTCAGCTGTCCTCTTCAGTGGGATGAAGAGATGTTAGACAAATAACGAGCTAGTTACAACTGTGGCTATATAGCATATACATGGAACCTTAAGATCTCAAGTGTTTTTATTTCATTTTGTGGTATGTTACCTGCAGATCTTTGATTAGAACTAAGCCAAAGCTAAGGTTAAAGATCTTGACTCCTCCTCAGTTTATTGTCTATCAACATATACATTTGGTTAGGTTAGGATTTTTTTTTTTTTTATTTCAGATTTTTTTTTTTTAAGGAGAAAACAGTAAGGTGGGCTCAAATAAGTGGAGACAAATATTGGTTTCAATCTTACATGGGTCTCAAATATTTTCACCACTGTCGTTGTCGTGGAATTATTATTATTATTATTTTAAAACTCGATCTGATGCATTGGGGGCGGGCAGAGAAA